GGTCCTAACTATCTCATGATCACTTTGATAAATTAGGTTAGCACTTAGAGTTTCATCAATTCATCAAAACTAAACTAGAGCTTTCAGTAGCCGGCAAGCCAACGGCCGGCCGAGCAGATGCCCATGCCTCTCTCATGCCAGCTATCACTAGCCCGGCACTCCTGGGGTCAGCCACCCGCGCCCCTCACTGATCCGTGCAAGGATCGAGAAAACTTCGCCACTGCCGTCCTTTGGGAGCTGCATGGGCATCCTGGCGGCTGCCTTCAGCGGCGGCGAGGCACAACTTCGAGGGAGAGGTGCGGCATAGGCTGGGGCGGATGGAGTGCCGCTCGTGTCGCCCTGTCCGGAGAGTGACGCGGGGCCGAGGTGTACTATGAATAAAAAAATGCGGCTTATCCCCAAGCCACTCTTCATGCTACTGGGATCCTATGGAGCTTGCAGTTTTTGTATGTTGAGGATATGCAACTACCTTGACATTGGCTACTATAGGATCGGCTATCTCGATGCCGACAAATACACAACAACACTAGTAAAAGAGTCCCTATCACCGCTATCGTCCATGTCACTCCTACTATGACTGCAGAAGGGAATATAGGGGGTAGAAAGGACAACACTAGAAGGGAACGCATGCACTGCCCTTAGGTGAAGAGGCGTGGTTGATGATGGAGAAGCAGCAAGGGTAGTTTGAAAGAAAAGACTTCAAAATCCAATCGCAATCGTCAGCTTCACTCTTGCTACGATTGAGGGGGAACGCTGGAAATAAAGGTATGTAAGGTTATATAAAATAATTAGGGATGGAAATGAACTCTATAGATAAAGATAGAATCCTAAAGATAGAGTCCGATTAGGCCTAGCACACCTTCGAGTCTCTCCCCTGCATACTATATACCTCTTAAGGATGATCAATGCACTCAACAATAAATCATTATGGTGTTTATCATATCCAACATTTTCCACGGAGTGGACCAACACAAACCACCGTCTTGCATAGGATGTCTAGCAACGCTACGAAGATGCGTGAGAGGCCAATTCCCACCTCCCCGCTTCCTACGCGAGAAGTGACCATAACAGCGTTCCAGACGCCTCGTCTCCCCACCTCCGTGACCCTTTCCTTTCCCCCAAGACTAACCCATCTCTGATCTCTCCCACTCCTAGATCTAACCTCCATCATGCACGCAGGGAGGAATCCATAAGCATAGCGACCATCTTGATTGTGCAGGTGGCGGCGTTGAGCATACAAGGTGCAGCAGGTGCGTGGTCAAGTTCGCTGCCCTCACCGAGGGTCGTCTCAGCGGCGAGCGCAGATGAGCACTGATGCGGAGTTGACACAAATCAGATATGAGGGTCCAGGCGGCAAGCGATGCGGCAGCGACGAGTGCTGGCCAACATTAGGGCTTGAACAGTCCGTGTCCACCATCTCTTCTCTCTGATGTCCAGGTTCCAATCATCTCTGGCCTTTGCGTCCTGCACTTGATCTATCCTGTTGCACCGTTTCGATTGGATCTAGTTAGTATTGCTCCACTTCCTCTGGTGAAATTCCCATTAAACTCTTTCTAACCCTAGATCTCTGTTTCAATCCTAAGTGATTAATCCGTTCACCAAAAGGCTCTGTAGTTGTGGTAACTGTCAGGCGTCTTGCAGGGGAGGTCACGATGGAGTAGCTGATTAGAAGCACCACTAACTGTACATGGAGAGATCAGGACGAACATATTGGTAAGTCACACCTCTCTATACATCCCAGATCAAAACAAGCTGACCAAATCTCCAATTTATTTTTATTCAATAAAATTTGCCTTCTCCTAAAATCTATTTTTCTCCAGATTGTTTTTTTTTCATGAATTGCGTTATTTCTGTGTGATTATTTTTAGTGCCTTGATATGTAACTATCTTCATTTCTTTGAACTTGTGCAGACAAAGGCATATCTTCTAAACCATCGTGCTTTATATGGACGTACAAGGTAATTGAACAATTAAGGTTTAAGAAAATAATGTCTTGCAAGATTAGCCTCCCTTTTCCCTGTTTATACACTTGCCTGCATTTTTGCATTGTATGATTGAATCTATATGAATATATACTGCAGACCAGTGCCTAATTTAATTTAGCTTCTTGATACTGCATTATTTAATCCGCAAGAACAACTATTTAAGTTATCATGCATCATAGTATATGAAAATAACACTGTCAATCTTGCAGATCAACAGTCATAATCATGGGTATTTCGAATAGTGTGTTGTTTTAAACATAATTTTTTTGGTTGAAACTCTGCAAGATTCTGTTCCGTTTGGTAGCACACTAGCTTCCTCAATATATGTTGAATAAAGTACTAGGGACTAAATTTAGTCTTCAGTAATCTTTGAAGTGTAATGGGCTTCTGCTCTAAACATGTTTGCAAATTGCAGTATAACTCCAATATGCTAAGTTTGAGGTATAATCCAAATCTGCAAGTCAAAGCATAGTATCTTTGTGCATTGGATTCGTGATGGAGGCTAGCATTTGCTAGAGCAGGACGTTGCCCTGGTAGTGCTTTCAACCATAACTATCCATCCCCCTATTTTAGATCAGGTTAAATTGTGAATCATGTCCCACCTGTGTGGGATTTTGTTTATTTTTTTCACCTACCAGTGAAGTTCTTGATCAGTAATATTTTAGTTTCTTCTGTTCAGTTGGATCAACAAATGATATCCAAGATCTGTAAAGCTACGTTAACACAGGTAGTAACTGTTTATTATCTCACGTTAATTAATTTTCTATGGGCTAACCATTCCTGTGGTCTGGGAAAAAAATTATGGATGGTTTCTTTCTTGATCAAATTGCAACTTATCAGTTACCTGGCCCCTAGACAATTAGTATTGTTGCAGATTGTCTAGTCACACTTTGGACTAATATGGCGAGATGACATGCCAATTCAATAAGGTAGCACCTATTTGAATTTTTCTACGGGCAATTTGATTTTATATATGATATCCTTTTTTTTTTGCTTTGATACTATGCAAAGCTTTAGCTGGTAAAAGTATTTCACAATAGATTGTATCATGTTAACCATATATAATTTGCTCTATTAGTGAAATTAATTGAGACTTTTGGATTGACTATCTGTTATTTATAGCCTAATATTGCTAAAGAATTGTGTAGCAGACTTACTGGTCCTTCACATCCATAGTTTGTCAACAAGGATCAAGGATGTGAACTATCAACTGTTTACTAGATTTAAGGTATGATTTCTTTCACTAATCACATACTTATACTTGAGCTGATCCATTAGTATTATGTTTAATTCAGTGTTTTTTTTGTCGAACCTACCAAATGTCTGGAATCGACATAACCATCTAAAACCATGGCATTCTTAGTTTAGGTGGTATGAGAACTCACAGACATGGGTATGGTCACCTTAATAACACTGAATGAAATTGTACTGCACATACTCAATATGTCCAGGGTTTTACTTTTACTCGTTTGACATTTGAGATATTTAAATAACATAGAGTTTCAGTTTCTTATTTTGGGCAGAAGCTTGCATGTACAGTGTACTCAATTTTTTCGTGCTGTTGCAGTCACTGGATTTCACCTCCTATACTTTTTACTACTTAAATTTTGGTGATCAAGCAGTACTTTTCTGGAACTGTTATAATACTGTGTGGGCTTTAATGATTGATATTTGTGAAAGATATAATGTACATCTGCTCATCATATGATGCTAGTCTATAAGACACGTCTCTTAAACCTTCATATTATACTAATATTCTTAATTGCTCGTCCAGCTATAGACTAATATTCCCTGGATATACTTTTGTAGAAACATTCAATGTGGCACAATAAATCGATGATCACATCAATGGAATGCTAGACTAAACCGGAGGAAGGAGAAAGGAGGGTTGGTGGCATTCTAAGAGGGATCCTTTTATGTTTTATATTTTACTTCCATAGGAACTTGTACTCTGAACAAAAATTGTATCATAAATTATGTGGATGGTACTCGTTGTAATGCAGCAAATTCTTTATACTATATGGCTGAGTATGCTTATTTTCTACGTGTTGGACGGTCTTGAATTTCACATTATTAATTGTACATGCATTGTCTCTATTTGTATAAAAAAAATAATTATGATATTAAAGATCGAATAGTTTATTCCTTGCAACACATATAAGTGTTGCAACAGACGAAATCTACATGTTGCTACAAGCCATAGAAGTCGTTCGCTCATGGTTTGTACAAGCACATATAAGCGTTGCTATAACCCATCATTATGTGTTGCAACTTTGCAACGGTTATTATTATGTGTTACCAACACAAAAATAAGTATTGCAATAGATCCTTGCAACGTCACTTTAAGCAATGCATATTAGATGCGTTGGTATAGACCCTGCCAACGTATATATGGACTTTTAGCAACTTATATTTGTGTTGCAAAAGGGGTGTCATTTTGTAGTGACCACCTGTGATATTAACTTTCCACATGATTTCTGCAAGGCTTCACTCAAGAACGGTTGTAGCCTGTATAAACAGGTTGCTACCCCCCTATAAAAATAATTTTTATTGCTGCGATTGCCTCAACTACAATTCACGCATATTTCATGCGGGGGAGAAATGAAGTTCTTTTGAGTTCTACTACAAGAGTCAAGAGTTGATAAACACACTTGTGCGTAGGAGGGCACAGCAACCATTGCATTTTATTTGATGCCTCTCCATGCACAGATTGGACAGAAGAACAACAATGATCTGCAATATCGAGTATCGATAGAGGTTTCGTCATCCCAAACGCAGAAGAGCACACAGAGTTACACTGAACATATCACATCACAAAAAACATGAGAATTGTAAGGTGGGTTCATTCCAAGAGAGGTCCATCCTGCTGACCAAACCGCTCATTCATGCTATTACAGGTTGAGGTTGATGATCTCCTCGGTTCCATTGGTATATAAAGCCGCAATCCCAAATTCTGGGAATAATCAACTTCTGCTGGCATTGCTCCAGATGCGCTCATAAGCATCTTAAAGCTTCCTACCTCGATCTGGTTTGGGTGGCTTGGGTAAATGCGAAAGATGCCTTAGGATGAAATGCCAATATACATGTAGATGTAGCCTCCTGGTCCGTGCTCGCCCTACAACATCTCCTGAGCATCCGAAGGTGTTCTGCCACTTCCAACATTTTTGGTCTCTCCTCTTCTTTTGAAAGGGTACACTTCAGTGCCAACCTTCCGATGCCTTCAAGGACAGTGTTATTCCCTTGAACTGTTATTATATCCTTATCAAACATTGCATTCCCACTATGATCTACGTCATAAGCTTTGGTGAACTCGTTGACAATGTCAAGATTCTTCTCATCATACATCTTCTTTCTCGAAATGAGTGATAAGAGAAGAATGCCAAAGTCATACACATCTTTCTGGGCTCTTGACAAGACCAATACACCACAATCAATTTGTCTGTCGTTAACAGGTAGTCCCGTTTGCTTGGCAAGCTTCCGTACCCATGAAAAACTTGTGAACTTTGGAGTGAAATTAGCATCTACAAGCAAATTGCATGGTTGAACAGAATCATGTGCGGTAATGCCTATTCCTGATGAATGGAGGTATTCTAATGCTTCTGCAGTCTGAACAGCAATCTTCACACGCAGATATAGTGGGAAATCTTCCTCGCCGTTCAGGATGTCATAGAGGCTACATTTACCAGGGCACTCATATTATAAAGATTGGAGTATCAGCTTCCAAGAAACAACCTAAAAAAAACATGATATTCTCGTGGGCAACGTGTGACACTTGCATCCATGAGTTGATGACAACCTCGCTTTTCAACTTTCCAAGTTTCGGCCAGTACACCGCCACAGCTGTATTGTCCTCAAGTGTACCTTTGTAGACAGTATTTGGATAAATTTGAAATCTGAATGACCAGTTCTGTGTCAATTTCGTGAGCTCGTCCATCGTAAACATTCTCACATTGCTGAGTCTTTCTAGCATCGCAGAATTGCGAGAACTCCTCCTGAAAGTGCCAAAAGACTTCTTAAACCAGCCTATGTCTTGCCCTCTTCTCAGAACATTCCAAAGGGCCTTAAGTCGTATTGCCACATCATTGATTTTAGGACGTTTGTCAATCTCCAATGTCAGGCAGTCCATTGCCAATTTTCCTATTTCAACAAGAACCGCCATGTTGCCCACATTTGCTATCTCAACTAGCTCCCTCAACTTACTCCATTTGGTACAATCTTGTCTTGTAAAAGTCTCAATAAGGCTAAAACTCCCATCTCTTACCCTTTTCCTAGCTATAAGTTCAAGGAGAACTATTCCAAAACTATAGACATCGCTCCTTGGGGTAAGACGCCCACTTTGCATATATATAGGATCCATGTAATCCAAACTGCCTTTCACAAGACTAGTGTATTTAGTGATGCCACCTGAAAGAAGCCTTGACAGTCCGAAATCTGATACTTTTGCTCTAAGATTGGCATCTAAAAGTATGTTGGCAGGCTTAATATCACCATGACAAACAAGGTTATCACTTGATAAATGCATGGAATGCATATAGCTCAAAGCTTCTGCACACCCTATAGCAATGCCCAATATTGTGTCCAAAGTGAAAGAATATCCAATTCTGTGAAGGATGTCCTCAAGGTTTCCTCTGGGAATGTACTCAGATACCATTGTTAGTGTAGTTTCCCCAATACAGTAGCCTATGAGCTTTACTACGTTCTTATGCTTCATTTGACTATGGATACTCACTTCTTCCATAAACTCTTTTGTCAAATTGCTACGGATATATCTCTTCACTGCAACTAACTCATCGTTGTCATCTAAGAGCCCTCTGTAGACTTCTCCGAAACCACCTTTCCCGATGGCAGTGCTATAATTTCTAGTCATTCTTTTGATCTCATCTTCTGTGAAAATCTTAATGTCATGATTGATGTCTACTTTTTGCTTAAACTTATCATTGCATTGCCTGGGATTTGCAGCCATAATTCTGTTTTCTGCAGGTTCTTTTCCACGCGAACAGTACAGATTCCACAACCTTGAGCGACCCTTACACTGCAAAAGTAAAAAAAGAACGGAAAATTAATGTTAGGATTCGTTTGGATAGGTGGAACTGATCTGTTTCTCAAGGGAACCGTAAGAATCACCAACAAACGAAATTTTCACCGAAGGATTTGGAGCCAGAAGGTTTCGCTGTTCTTCCTTCGTTTGAGTTTGAACACTGAAAGCTGGTTTCTGTTAGAATCTGGCTGGCTTGCACAGGTGAGCAGTAGCTTCACTCTCTCTCACACACACACTACACTTGGGGCTGGATAGAAGGTAGGAGAAGAGAGGGGGAGCACAGAACACACGCACAAACACCAGCAAGTGCTGCTGAACTGAACTGCTAATTTCATTACCATAGTTGCATATATATACGCAGAGGTAGCTAGTGAAGGTGGACTGCTGCAGCAGTGCTTATTCCCATGCTGCTTCTCTCAACTATGTTGGGGATAAGTTTTCAGCTAAGCTGGAGACTGGGTTAGCACCTGATGACTACTACTTTTTACCATGGCATCACGTGATTACTTCACCTTTGCTAGGCTCAGGAACTAAGTGGGCACACTTCACCTAGCGGTGAATATGCTTATCTCTAGACTTGGTCTTCTACAAAGCGACTAAGTCATACAATGTAATCGTTCAAGATCCCTGTTTCGGCTCTAAGAGTCAATTTTGCCTAAGGCATTGATGCTAAGCATCTCTCTTTGTTCCTGAGGGACTAAGTTCCTCTGCACTGACTAAGTTAGGGATGCTAAACGTTTAACTTTGCTACCCGGAACCTAAGTGGGCACACTTCATCTAAGATGGGGACTTCAAAACAATTTTACTTGAGCTCCTTACATCCTACCTACAAACCTTGACTTCACGTGAGTTTGAGCTCGGTTCCTAGTTGACATGTTTGGACATCTACTTCTACAGCTCAGTCATCATGTTCAACAGCTCAGACATCATGTTCAATAGCTTAGATGGTTGTTTTAATAGCTCAGCTCCCAGTTAAACTGGTCGGACGCTCGCTCCTAATGATCGGCGGTTGGCTGAACTGCTCGGACAAGCTCAAGATGGTGTTGCTCGATGGATACAAGGCGCTAGGGGACTAGCTATGGGGGTATAACCCCTGATATTCATAAGGCTATACATGGGCCTTTTCACTAGGGGAGGCCTAGCCCGCAAGACTACACCACATGGAGCATGGCACAGGCCGGCGTGCCTCACAAGACTGCGTGAAGATCCTTGGCGATTAAGGATGGTCTATTCGGATATGCTAGATTCTGCAATCTCTATAATTCCTATCTTATAAACTGATCGGGATAGAAATAACTGACCTATAACCCTACCCCCGAGCTATATAAGGCGGGTAGGGACCCCTCGTTTTCGTCGAATCTCTAATAATACAAACCACAAAGACATGGGACGTAGGGTATTACGTCAAGCTGATGGCCCAAACCTGCCTAATCATTGTCTCTTATCTTCTGTGTCACCATCTGGTTCCCTCACATGCACCTCCAATGATTCATCAACTACCATGGGCATACCCCTTGGTAGACTGGCGGACGTATTTCGTCGACAGTCGGCGATGAGGGTGTCGGCAGTCTTAGACTTAACCACCACGTCATCGACGTAAGCCTCGATGTTCTTCCTAATTTGGTCCTTGAGGCAACACTGGATGGATCTTTGATAAGTCGAACCCATGTTCTTGAGCCCAAAGGACATGGTCGTATACCAGTAGGCTCCGAAGGGCATGATGAATGATGTCTTGATGTGGTCTTCTTCCTTTAGCGCGATCTGGTGTAACCAGAGTGGCAATATAAAACCCACTCTAGATGATACACCTCTTTTATAAAACCAGCAGCTAAGAGCCAGGTTATTTCTACCCTAATGGCCTCCTTTTTGCCCTACGCGAATCGTTGAAGCTTTTGCTTGATCGGCTTGGTGGTCGCCGAGACATCAAGGAGTGCTCGATCAGCTCCCGAGGCACGCCAGGCATGTCCATAGGTTTCCACGTGAACACGTCAACATGCTCCCTTAGGAAGTGGACGAGCACGTCTTCCTATTTGGGATCAAGGTCGGCCCTGATCCGAGTAGTCTTAGGCTGGTCACCGGGGACGAGGACCACTTCCTTCACCTCCTTAGACTTGGTTGTTGCTCGGGCGGCCTCCATGGTTGGGATCTCTAGGTCTTCTAGGGAAATCTGCTATGAAGTCGTGAGGCAGTCCTATATGCGGATGGACATGTCAGTAGCCTCGGTGAGTGTGAAGCTTTCCTTTTCATAGGAGTAGGCGAGATCAAGGTTAGCGTGTAGGGAGAGGACCCCCTGCTCTATTGACATCTTCAGCACCAGGTATGTGTAGTGCAGCACGGCCATAAACTTCGCGATGCTGAACTGTATTGGCAATGTAATATGTCCTAGAGGTAGGGATGCTTTTTCAGGAATGATTCCCTAGAATAGAGAGTCCATGGGGGTGAGATCTTCCTTCTTGAGCCCTAGCTTCTCTAGGGACCCGGTGAACAGAATGTTGAGGGCGCTCCCTTCGTTAATGAGGACCTTCTAGAAGCTCACGTTCTTGATGATGGGATCCAGGACAAGCAGGAAACGCCCTGGATATGGGATGTTTGACCACTGGTCAACCCTGGAGAAGGTGATTGGATGCTCCGACCAGTCAAGGTACTTGGGATCACCAATAGGACTGTCATATGGAGTTATCAACAAGACACATCGAGCTACAAGCTTTTGCTCACACTTATCCTCGGAGACGTCTCTCCCATCGAAGATAGTGGCGACAATCTTGGTGGTGTCTTGGTAAGGAGGGCCCTTGCTCTTGTCTCAATCTTTGCCTTGGCCGTCCTTGGTCTCATCATCGTTGCACCATTAGCTTTTTGCTAGTTCATCGCAAAATACTTTGTTCTAGCCTCTGCACTCCCCCATGGTGTGCTTGGCATCCTTGTGGATAGGACACGGACCATACATGTGCTTGGCATAGTCAGCCTCATAGGTGCACTTAGCACGGGTGTTGATGGCGTTGATGGAGTTGTCAGGCCAGCGGCGGTGGCCTTGTCTGCCTCTCGAGCCCTATGGGCGATCATCATGCCGATGCTCGGGGTCATCTTGGAGGCATTCATGATCATCATGGTGGAGGTCATGATCGCCGCGGTGGTGGTTATGATCATCATAGCGTCTCTCCATGCGACGATCGTTATTACGGCGTGAGTGGCGATCAGGATAGGCAGCCTGTTTGGCTTCCTCAATGTCGGCATAGCCAATTGCAATTTGTATCAGTTCGCCAATGGTCGTGGGCCTCTTGCGGTATAGCTTCCCACGGAGCTATTCGTGCTGTAGCCCTCTGGTGAATGTGGCGATGGCCTCGGCGTCACTGATGTTGGGCACGTAGTTCCTCATCTCTGAGAATCGCCTGATGAAGTTACGAAAGGACTCCCTGGAGGCTTGGTGAAGCTTCTCCAGGTCATACTTGGTGTCAGGCTACTCGCATGTAGCCATGTAGTTCTCGGTGAAGACCTTTTTGAGGTCATCCCAAGATCAGATGGAGTTCTCCCATAGGCTAAGAAGCCAGTTGTTCACAGACTGGTTGGGCATGATAGGAAAGTAGTTTACATGACGTCTCCGCTTCCACCCACAACTCTCACAATGATCTCGTAGAGAGTTAGCCACTGGGTGGGGTTTGCCTTGCAGTCGTAGTTGTTTACCCCAACAATCTTGAAACTCGCAGGCCATCGGATGGCTTGGACCCTCACTACGAAGGGTCAGAGTCCGGAGCCAGCGATGGGGGTGACGGGTGGTGCTCGAGGTGCAGAAGGTGCCCCATGCTCCTCATCAAACTACCACCAATGTTCCATCTCTATCTCATACCGTGTGGACCTGCTGTTCTCGATGTGACCTCGTGCATTGAAATTAGCATTGATGAGCTCACGGGCATCGCATGGGGGTTGATTGACCTGCTGATTGGCATCGCAGTTGCCGCCCCAGCCTCCCTAGGGCACAGAGGGCATCTGTCTTGGTATGGATGTCCTTCATAGTTGCCCCTGGATCCTCTATAGAGATAGGGGCTACTACCTTGGTGTCAAGGGTGCTCGATGCCTTGATGTTGACTTCCTCCATTACGGTGAGAGCGGTGACTATGAGCCGATGTGGTCGAATAAGATGGATTGGGGTTTCAGAACTCGTTGACCTGAACTTGAGCTGCTATGATATGTGCTTGGACCTTCTCGACATCTAGAGTTTGGGGAAGTTTCTTGAGCTCATTTTAAGCAATGGCAAGATTGGTGCTTGGGGTCTGGTGGACCGACTGGTTGCCCACCATGTCAAACTCCTCCTCTTGATTATGTCCCTAGAGTGGTGGGCCGTGTCCATCCATGTCACCCTCGTGGGTCGCCTCTCATCTCGGCGATGTTGGCGATGGCGTTCTTCACCAGGCGAGTGTTGTGCTCATCAGAGGTTTCACCGTCCCTGGTGGCGCTGTCGTGGCTGACGTGGAAAATTATTCCCCCAAACCCCGAAGGGAAAGTAGGGTAGCTTGATGTAGTCTTGGTTGAGCCCTCAGAGTAATTGTTGGGGCTCTCCTCTAGGACCTCATGGAGGGAGTCATCTGTAAGCTAGCGAATGGCCACTAAATTGACCACGAGCGCGGGCTAATTGGACTTAGTCGAATCAATCATGTAGGGGTCGGTGATGCAGTCGTGCTCGATGTGGTTGGCGAAGAGGTGGTGGATGGTGTTGTGGTACGTGGATCCTGCACCCTCCAACCCAAAGGGATAGGGCTTTGGTGGGTTCTCCAACGGGGCCTTGTAATCGACCAAGCATAGGCTGGTAACAAGAAGTGGTCGGTGTCGCACCATGTGCCCCTCTAGAGTGGCCATGATCACCAGATCGTAATCTGGCCACCTTGAATGATGTGGCTGAGCTGGTCACTTGGTTGTGGTGGCTTGGTGATCTT